GTCTTCCTAATTTGACCACAATTTCCTTGGAAGAATTAAGTTCTTCACCTGCTTCTTGTGCCACAACCCTGATCACAATGCCTAGAGTAGTATTCAGGAAACATTTATTAGTGACAATGATGCAAAGATTGAAAAATACTAAAATCTATAGTCTTTTCCTTAAAAATAATCCATTATCATTTTGCCTCTTACTTCTTTACAAAAAGAACTTTTTAACATAAGAGCTGTTCAGAGTTGGGTATGTTTCGGGAGGTAGAAATGTTTCCTTCTCCAGAGATACGCAAACAGACCAAACAATGAGTGGGTGGGGATGCTCTGAAGGAGATGCAAGTATTAGATGGGTTACTGGACTAGATGGCCCATTATATTCCCTTCCATTATTCAAAATTCAACAAATATTATTGAGCAATGAACAAAACCAAAATCCTTGCTTTTATAAATTAAAAATCTTATCAGCATCCTAATAGCTGCTATAAACCTAGTGGATTGGCAAATAGTCAATGCTGGTTACACAACAAGAAAATCCCCTTCTTTAAAAGTGAACCATTTATAAAGTCATAGTGGTTACTTACCAGAGCATGTGTTCCTCAGCTTCTTAAGAAAATATCTTATTCGTATTTGAATCTCCAGGCCTGGCATATAGATCCTCACTAAGTGTTAAATACATGATCTTGAATCAACTCTAGTATTTCTTTCTGCTCCTGGACTGCCACTTAGTAGTTAATTATTTTGTTGATAGAAGGGTGAGTAAGGCATAATCACAAATGACAATCACAAATTGAAAATGTATTCACAATTAATTTGGTTCTTTTTTTTCTTTACATTAAACATCAGCCTAAGGCAATGCCATTGATTTCAAGTTGAATGACTATTGCTTGTAGTGAAATTGCCAAAAGGAAGAGCAATCCTTATTTGCTCATAAAATTCCACTTATTTTTTTAAAGTTATTTGCTCCCAGTAAGAGTCTCCATTGATTAAACTCCAGACCTTTTAAGTAACGACAACCAAAAAAAAAAGCACAAGATTTTCTGCAAACAAAAGCATATGACTAATCAAAGATTAAAGATTAAGGTCCACCACAGATGTATTTGTTAGATGAAACTAAGTCACAGTAACAAACAGATCCCCCAATTCAGGAGATTTTTAAAGAAAGTTTATCCTCTCTCACATGACAGCCCAGGGAAGGAATTGAGGTCAGAGGTGGCTTGCTCCACATAGTTTTTCAAGAATCCAGGCTGATAACAGCTCTACCATCTTCAACACACAGCTTCAAGGTTGCCTTGGGCATCATCACTCCTGACAGCCAGAAGGAGGAAGGATCATGAGGGGCATGAGTGGAAGGTTTTATGAGGCTTGAAAATGGTACATACCACCTCCTCTCAAATTCCACATCACATAACCACATGCAACTGCAAAAGAAACCAGAAAATACAGTCAAGGTCTGGATCCAGGAAGGAGAGGAGCATGTTTTTGGTACATGGTTGGTGATCCCTGCCATAATGGAACTGTAAATGAAACTAATTCTCTGAGTGCTCTTCCCCCACCCCCACCCCTAGAATATTAGCCAGAGTTTACAAAAGCCTCTGGTTAAATTTGCCTACTGCAAAAGATTCTTACCAGACTTTGCTCTGTCATAGTTCACAATTTATGAATACATTATATTCCAAAAGTTCACTTCTGCATTTGCTTAAATATATTTTCTGGTAGAACCCACAGCTTATTATTTATCCTATCTAGACAAATACTACAAAACCTGCTCAGTTTTGGATGCAGTGTGGAAGAATAAAGCTTCCTCCTCTACTCTTGGGAAAAAAGAAAAGGTTACCAGATAAAGCAAGTTTTTTATTCAAGACCTCCTCACCTTGCCACTCTCCTCTCCACTGGTGCCTGTCACCTTCACACTACGCCAAAAATCCCACTCAAGCCTATCCCAGTGCCCATCCCCAGTCATTACTGGCATCCATGATGCTGTTCTTATCTGGACATTAAGGCAGTGAATTTATATTTTAAAAACTATTTTCACAGATAGACATAATAATAATTGACATTTATTGAATATTTACTATATACGAGAACTATGTTCTCTGAACTTCATTTTACTCATTTATAAAATGGAGGCAATAATAATACTTACCTCATGAAGTTATTGTAAGGATTAAATGAGACAATGGCTATAGAGTGCCTTGGACCTGGCCTGACATTCGTAAATTTACTCAGTAAATGTTAGCTATTATTTTCCTAATTGGTGTATTATTACTCAGTGATTGGGTGGAACTGTGAAGAGCTCATTTTCACTCAGTTCGGTTCCCCTCTCCCCCAGCAAACTCCCACCCCTCCAACCAATGAAGGAGACAACAGTCACACTTTGTCGAATGTTGACAGTGGTTCTCAATGATAATGAGCCTGAAGTGCTTGTTAAAAATGTAAAAAACCCCCATTCAGTGAGTCTGAGGAAAGCACTGCTGCCACATTGAACAACACCAGGGGGCACCATTCACATTTGCGTTGCATGTAAATAGTGCTTCCTGGAGTTTTGCAAATTTTGGTTCTGAAGTTGAAGCCCAGGAAGTTGTGTTTTTAACAAACACCCAGGTGATTACAAACAATCCTCTAGAGTCTTTAAGACTGTTCTACAAAGTGTGGGGACCTGAGGAAGAACTTATCTCACAGGTTAGTTCAGTGTCTAAAAGTGGCTGTAATCAACTATCAACAAAATAACATTTTTAAAAGCCATCCACTACAACCTAGTCACAGCCTTGTTATTCAGAGCTCTCCCCAGTAGCCAAATTCAATGGAATGAGACTTTTACCTGTAATTTCCTTCTGAAGGCTTCACAAGGCTCTCCAGACGTGATCTCATTAATCCTCAGGACAGATCTGTGAGACAGGTGGCAGACATCGGACTTTTCATGACAGGTAGCTTGAGGCGTGAGCAGGGCTGCTGGCCCCAGAAGACCAGTGTCAGTACCTGGCTGGGTCTTCCGCAGTCTCCCCAGTCTTCATCTATAAGACACCAAGTTTCTACATTTTGCTGGGGAAATCTTCACCAGTTCCCATATGAGAAAGGTTGTTAAGGCAAATCTCATCATCTGCCCATCCCATTCATTTACAAATATTTATTAGCTACTACTACCTAACAGACCTAATACTTTTTGGAAGCAGGTGGGTGTTGAATTGTAAATGCATCAGTAAACAACTACATACTGAGCAAATCATTGTGGGACCATAAAGGGGAAAGGAAACACATATTAAATGAACACTAATTACTATCTGAAAGGCATTGTGCTGAAATCTTTCCTTTGATTATCTTTCATTACTTGCAATAATTCAGAAAGGCAATGACAGATACCATGACTTTTTACAATTTTTACAAGAACTGGTCATATACTTGTAGTTAGTTACCTGTTTCAGCCAGACTTCGATCTGAAATTTGTCTGATTCCAAATCTCTGCTTTTTTACATAGTCCCTACCTTTAAGGAGTATACAAGTATACCAAAGTTAACATTTATTGAGCACTTGGCTAATGTAGCATGTTCCAGGCATTGAACCAAGCACTTTACATACTCTTCCATGTAATCATCATATCAACCCTGTGAGGTAGACACTATTACTTAGCCCCAACTATAGATGACAAAAATCTGAGGCTCAGCAGGGTTAAATCATTTGCCTGCGGGGGAGAAAACTTGAAGAACCATTGCTATCACAAGAGGGTGTTGGCTTCTTCTACAAGGGCCCAAGAAGTTATATAAGACCAAAGGTCAGAGGATTCAGAGAGAGAGATTTGGATTCAAAATGAAGATCTTACTGACAGAGCAACCCAAGTGTTGCCTCCAGAGGGAGTGAACTCCCTTTCTCAAGAGTTTACATAGCTAATTGCCACTTCAAAGAGACATTATAAAATGAATATTATTATGTCAAGAATTGTTCTCCTAAGAAAATAAAAAATAAAAATAATAAAGAATGTTCTCCAGTTCTCTGCCCCACCACACACCCCCCACTTTAATTTCCACTCATTCTTCAGATTTCAACCTAAACATTAATTCCTCAGAGATGTCTTTCCAGGTCCTACTGGGCTTCCATTGTATATCATCTTGGCTTCCTGTACTTCTCTTTCATAGCACTTATAGTGGTAATTAAATAACTAATTATGGAATTAACAATGGAATGTAAGTTCTTATAGGGCACAGACTACATGAGTCTTGTTCTGGAGGTTAACTTTCCTGGTGCCTACCAGTGTCTCAAACATGTTAGATGCTCAGTAAATATTTGTTGAACAAAGAATGAGTGACTATTGATGGGTGGTT